TGGGTAACTTATGCAGAAGTAAAAGATAAAAGAGAAAAGAAGTAATTTCTACTCTTGTAAATTATGTTTTAAAAATTTAGACAGGAAAGATAACAGATAATAAAATTTCCACTTTTCAATTCTTATTTTTTATAAATTTTGGATTAATATTGATTGAGGCTTTCTCTGATATAATTACTTTAACTTCATCTCTTAGTTTAATCAAATAAATTATTCCAGAAATATGTTGTTTGAGGTCAATAAATTTTTTTAGATTGGTATGCTTTAAGATTATTATAAATTAGTTTGAATAATGATTCTTTTATTTTTCTTCTTAAAATGGATTGTTTATTTTTTTTATTTTTTATCGAATCTGTTTTCATCATGGCTTACCTATAGAGAAAAGACCTTCTTCCAATTTATCGAAGAATAAAGGTATATATTGAACAAGCATTCCGTATGTTCTTAGTTAAACAAATAGAATATTATTATAATAAATATCAATGTTTGAGAATCAAGTATGTTGTTATTTATTTCAAACTAAAATAAATAAAATTGAATAGATATAAATCAATTACAATATATATAAAATCAATCATAAAATCCTTTCCAGTAAAAGATGTCCTGTTTTTTATTGTAGATTGCATAATTCTCAATTTTGTTAACTTGCAGTTATTTCAGTTTCTAAAATTCCATCTTTGAGTATTTTCTTTTCTCCCTAATTAGAATTAACATCTAAAAACATATTTTAAAATAGCAATCATGGGAGTAAGATTATCGCTTAAGCAGAATTAATGTAAATTTTCAACAAAGCTGCTCTTCTCTTTTATATAGCACGAAAATTTTATATGAGGATGATTATTGTACTAATAATTGTGGATTTTTAATGAATTCTTCTGAAACTCTGTCTCGATAAGCTATTTCTGAATGATTAAAAAGGAGCATTTATGGATCTCTTTATTATCTTGAAATAAATTAAGGCATAAACTTTACTACTTTCAACCGAGATAAATTAATTGTTTTTCAAAAATTAAACTTTGATGTTAATTTTGATTATATATATGGTATCAATAAATATGATTTGAATAATCTCCTTGATTATAATGATGCATATGAATTCCTTTTTATATGTTGATTCTCTCTACCAATTAACTATTCTATACTTCTTAATATGTGAATCTAATTAATAAAAATAAGTCGTTTCATTCTTATTTAAATTAACTTTCCATGTCTTTATTTGTTATCACTTCTACTTAAAAAAAGTTGATATTTTGAAAAATCAGTAGTGTGCATATGATTGAATCTGTTTAAGCTATAAATAAGATTAGGATTACTTCCATTAGTTCAGTTTAATTTAAATGCAAGCTAGAATTTTTTTTATTTTAAATAAATAAATATATTTTGTAGAGTTTAAAATATTGGAACAATTCTTTATAAAAATAAATAGATTTTGGAAAATATAAATTAAATGAAAAATATTTTCAAAAATGTAATTAGAGATTTGGAGAATGTTACTTGATTGGATTAAATAAAAAATTTTAAATAAAAATCTTTGATTATTCTTAGTATTCTTGGTATCTAAAAATAATTTTCTGCAAAAAAATTTAATTTAAGCAGATGTCACTTATAAAAATAAGTATTGATTTACAACAAACTAAATTAGCAAAACACTCAAATTTCAAGAGTCATCAGCAATGAATAACAATATTTAAAGCTCATCGACAAACAATATTAAAATTTGGGCTAAAAATAAATGAAATTACATTAATCCTATTTTATTTGAGCATACCAGAATTGCTAATAATTTTTATAATCGATTATGAAATAACAAAGTATCATTAAACTAAAGTCATAAAGTATAAATTTAATGATTCCAAAAGAGAAACAGAAAGGCATTTAAAACCTGAAAATATTGTTATTTATGTCTAATTTTATAAGAATTTTGATATAACAAAAGTATTGTATTCCTAATATTTAAATTAAGAATTCTACTAAAAAAAATTCAAACAAGCCCAATTATACTAATTTGAGAAATGCAAGTGTCGATTAATATCTCAATGTGCAATTTGACCTTATTAAAAATAAACCTAATTCTTTTCACAGTCTTGCTTGTTCTTAATCTAAATACTAAAATTATTTATTGATTCATGGTTTAAATTAAAAAAAAGTAATAGAAATTCATTATTTTTTAAAAAAGATTATGAATTGCACTTATCATATTAAAAAAGAAGTATAATTCATATGTAAAGCTTCTCACAAGTGTAAATTTCAGAGAAAATTGTGTACTGAATGTCTTTATGAGCATGAAGTCGATATTAAACAAACAGTTCCGATTGATAAATTTGTAGAATAGCTTATCAAAAAACTAAAAGAATCTAAGCTAGATGAGACATCTGAATTAAATAACTAAAGAATGAAATTTAAATCCCTGGTCTCTCAAGTTCAGAATATGATGAAGAAAATGTGGGAAGATTTAACCATATCCATAAACTAGGTTTATGATATAATTGAATAGGAAAATAAATCATACATCAATCTTATCAATGAAAATACGAATCTAGCAGAAGCCTCTTATACTGACTTAGAAAAATTATTATAAATTTTAGAAGGAAACACATTAAATTATTGGAATACTTAGAAAGATTTGTATTTGATAAACCTAGAGAAGGCAAAGAATTGGTTGAGCTCTGAAGTTACAGCTTTCAATGAAAAAATTTAAAAAGAATTGACACCATTAATAAATTGTAAAATTAATCATCAAATTCAAACATATTAAGATCATTTATAATAATTAATATAATTATAGCAAGGATAAGAATAACAAATTAAGTCTGTACCTTAATTCAAAATTAAACCATTTACTTATTAAATAATTAAACAGAACTCCATTCCATAAACCTAAAGTTGTTGGGCAGTTGCTTTTAATAAAGATTGCTCAATTGTAGCAGCTACATGCGACGAATTAATCAAAATATATGAATTCAAATAAGGAAAGTTGAAATAAATTCAAGTCTTAAATGATCATTAACGTAGAGTCTGTAATTTACTTTTCTTGAAAAAATCTAATTAGCTTATATCTGGAGATTTTAATGGATCTATTTTGATTTGGTCAATCAATAATAATAATCAATGGATTTGTTCATAAACACTTAAATAACACGATGATCGTATACATTGTTTAATTATGAATAATTATGAAAACATTATCGTATCAAGTAGCGAAGATAAGACTATTAAATTTTGGATTAAGCAAAATGGATGGGCCTTATAATAAACTAATACAAGTCATAAAGGTAGTGTTTATTAGTTAAGTTTAATTGGATAAAAAAATAAAGTTATTTCATGTGGAAATGATAAATTAATATTAATATTAGAATATTCAGAATAGAATAAAAGGTGGGCAATAGTATAAAATATTTAAGTTGATTAATATGGATTGCGATTATGTTTTGTAAATGATAATCTTTTCACATTTCAACCTCATAAAGGGAATTTAATACATGTTTATGAGTTGAATATTGTAAGTAAATAATTCACTAAAACTAAACAAATTTCTTTAGATCAAAGCGATGGAGATAGCATTTTATTCTTCCCATAATAATATATAAAACCAAAATAGTTGCTTGTGAGTAAGCATAGTAATATCAATTTAATAAGAAAGATAGAAAATGATGAATTTAAAGTTGAGTAATCTATTGAATTTGGTACTAATCAATTATATGGGTAAATGAGTGATGATGGAGAGTATTTGATTACTTGGGATGATAAATCTAAAGAAATATAAATAAGGAGATATATAGAAAAATGAGCAATATACATTTATAAATAGAAATATGATTCATTTTTTTAGTTTTTATATACTGAGATAAATAATTTAAACATTTATGCTCCAATAACTAATTTGTTCTCTGTAAACCAATTAATAATCAAATTAAAATACAAAAAATTATTTTATCATAAAAAAAAGTATAATCGCTCATATTATCTTTATAAGACCATTTCTACTTCACAATAAATAAAAAGTAGCTGTATGGTTTCTAGATTGCAAGATATGACTTTAGCCATAATTCAATAATATCTATAAAATTTCATCCTTGAAGAAAAATACTCCAAATTAAATTTCATTTTTTTTCATCACCTCAGAATTTTATAAAGAAATAACTTGTTTAAAAGTCTTAGAAAGTAAAATTTCACAAAAAGATTTTTATATTCGATTTAATTCCAGGTATCATGATAAAATCTTATAAGATTCAAACTTAAAACCAATAGAAGTTATAACCTTATTTATTTAAATGAAAATTATTGATAAATCAGAAAATAATTATTAAATTAGAAAAGACTTAAGTAGGTATGTTATAGGTTAAAAATTTTTTAATAAATTCTATCAAATGTGATTTAACTTTTTTATTCATTGCTACTAAACATTCTTCTTTATAATAGAAGAAGAAATATTACTTTTTCTTGCTTAACTCCACTTATGATTTGAATTGATCTTTCATGCTTTTTCACAAAATATCCAAGCATCAGAAAAAAAAGTCTAGTCTTGTACCATCCTATTCAGTTTTAACATTTCCTTAAAAGATATAAAATATCATAACCTTTAAACCACAAGGAATCAAAGTAGCTCCCTTTAATTTTATA